GGTCTGTGTCCGAATTATAGCATTTTTGCTGTTTGGTGTGCTTTTTTATGTGATTTCTACAAACCATTAGTGGAAGGAAACAGCAGTCTGGGCCATGCTGAATGCTAATGGTATGTTTGCCTGGTAATATGGTCTGCTGTATGGTACTGCCTCTCCAGTTCTCCTGACTAAGAGCCAGGTGTGTGTGTCTGTGTTGCAGATTGCATCTATCCAGTTACCAGATGTAGTTGGTTAACTACTGGATCAAAAACATCCAGGAACTAGTGGGTTACGCTGTGGTGGTTACTGCCATCTTTTATATACAGTTTATGGTGAAAGTAGAACATCACTGGAGAATATTGTGGCGACGCTGTGGAGCAGTGTGAAGTTTCTGTTCCAGAGGCACAGCTTACATATTCATGTCATTTTCCACAATAATGTTATGTTTATATTTCTGTTCGTGAAATGCTTCATGACTCTGCCACTTTTGCCATTTTCCACGACAAAGCCAGGCACTTCAAAAAAGCCACATTTGTTCTTTTGGTTTTTTCAGTCTGCCCATTAGGTAGATAATTAGTTCTAATTTAGAAACATTACAGCATTACAGGCAAATGGAATTCAATAATTGCAATGCTTTTCTTTCTAAATATTTTCTTTCCAGGGGCTTTTCACCTTAATTAGAGAGCACACTGTAGAGAAGACGCACAGCAAAGGGCCTCAGGTCAGAGCTGAACCCAGCTGCTGCATTCAGCCTCGAGGCATGTAGTCACCTGTGCAACCTGCATGCTAAATCCACACCCACTGCTTTACTATATTATTTTATAAGGTATTAAACCAAAAATCGAGCTGCATCTATCATGTTAAAATCTCGCCTCAAGATATAGACTTGAATCTTATAACTTCAATTTGTACAGTTGTACAAATAACTCATAACAACCTGAGGTGACAGTTGCCAACGCAGACTACAGTCCACAGTGTTTTATCTGTTGTGTGAAAAATCCGATGTGTCACGCCTCATTACGCCGCCTAGTCAAATGCAATTGACCTGCATGGTGTTTAAAAGAGAGAAAAAAAGAAGTCTCCTCAGAGAAGTGGGAGGAAGAAACAAGATAAAGCCATGATGGGAAGTGATTATGCTGAAGACAGCTCACTGCAGCATTGTTGACCCTCTTCAATTAGATTATGTCTCTTGCTTCATTCAGCTCTGGGTTTATATGTGTGAAACTGATTGATTGTAGGTGGGAGGATGGAGGTAAAAATGCCTGGAGACGGATGAAGTGTTAAAAAAGCAAAAACTTTTATTTTTCTCTTCTTACAAATAATATATCATGAATGTTTTTGGGGTGGATAAGATGCTTTTTGTGCCATTTTTCTTCATTTCATTTTTTTTTTTGTTTGAAAGGATCTGGACATTTATTCTAAATAACACACAAAAATCTTACAGATCCAATGAATATCATTTGCCACTGATAAGATAATTTGAATTCTATAAGTCTCCTTTTAATTTGGAGGTTTATTTTTGGATTTTGCAGTTACATTTAAATTACCTTTTTGTTATATTATATTTAAACTGAAAATGCTTAGTTTCCCCAAAAATCTGCTCTCATTTGAGGCAGACGCTGTCATTGGCAGGGAAAACAATATAGTGACGCGATGGCTACTGTGAGACCAAATGTAGGTATCACCGGTCCCTGTGGTTTTCATTAGTTTCTTCCAGCGTATTTTCTCCTCCTTCATTCTGTTTCCCGTCTCTGGCGTCATGTT